AGGTCTACCCAAGGCACATATTTACACCAAGTATCAAAGCATTCAGGCTTGTAGTTTTCAAGAAGAAGTCGAAAAAGTAAAACATTGACACGGACGACGACGACGGACAATCACTCTTATGATAAGCTCCGCTCGACAAAGTCGACAGTGGAGCTAATAAAAACTGTATACAATTACAAATCTACTTGGCTTTGAAGTCTAACATAAGGCTACATTAATGTATGGTGCACTCACCAGCAGGAATAACAGCTGGTAATAGTTGTCTATCGGCTTGGTTTAAAATATATACTATAAACAAAATAAATAATGAAGACAAAGCCCGCAGTGTGGAAGTTTGAGATTCACTCGTAGGGATTTCATCGTCTTCTTCATAATAGGTTTGTTTAAAAACCTTGCCTATTAGTTGACCCATTATAATTGCTACGTTATCATCGTTCCCTCGGTCATAGAGGATACATCATATTCAAAGGTATCCTATCACCTATAAAAACAAGATAAACAATTACATTATTTCACACTCCAACTAACCATCACTATGGCAACTGCGCTACATGTGTTAGGATATACTGTCACTAAGATTTGGAGATCATTATAATTCAACCAATACTGCAGAATTTAGAATGAAATGCGAGGTGCCATTTTCTTCTAAAATACTTAACTTTAACCTTTATTTACTTTCTTTTGTAGCTTTATAGTTCCTAGTCGTTTTGTATTTTGTATGTCTTAGTTTTAGTTGTTCTTGCTGTACCTTTCTGCATCAATGTCATGTCAAAAAATATTATTATCTGTGAGCATAAAACTATGCCACAATTTCCTCTACATACTTATGTAGCTTGGGGGTACTAGCATACATGTAACACTAAACCGAGGAAGGAAATACAACTTCAGACATGCTGGAAAAATAAAATCCAATGAAATTTAAATTAAGTAAATCATTTTTGGAAATTGAGGACATACGTCTTTTTCGCTAGCATGTTATTTAGCTAATCCACAATCTCACTAAAATGACACGTAGCTATTTCAAAGTGTTTTACAGTAGGTCAAGGAAATTAAGTTTTAAATTGTATTTGTTATCAAAATTTCCTCACTGGTTTATTGATTAATTAGCCGAACCCGGAAATGTGTAGAGGGAAAGAGTTCCTTAAGGCCACTACGGCCCCAATGCAATAACGATATGTGTTCTGAAGACATATATATATATAATTGAGATGGAGGGAGTGGCACTGGAGGGGCAGGATTATGAGTTATAAATCATATCAGTGGCAATTTGATTGTTTGTTGGCACTTATAAGCAATATTTCCTGCTTGACTTTGGCAACTAATCGCTCACTCACATCAAGCTACTGGTAGTTGGTAGATCAGATCAGACTTGACCAGATAAATGTAAATGTAGGGGAGCTCCATCCAATTTACTCATGCAATTCTGTAGTAATAGGGGAAACATCTTCATGGCATAGCTAATATAATTAATATAACATAATTTAGTGAATTGTATTAAACACAAAACCAACGCATACATGTATCAATTACTAACATGTATCCAATATGATACTCACATGTACTCACCAGTATATTCCAAAGTGAATTTGTGCAATTAAGCAATCTGTGCATGTAATGCCGTGCCTATTCTGCCAATAGGTCATCTAACTACTCACGTGCAGAATTTTTTAATAGTTGTCAAAATAGTAACATCCACTGAGCAGGTCTGGTGTCCCAATGTCCATAGGTAAACTTTTAGTGACCTTTACATGTAATGAACTATGGGTAAATTAAGTGAGCGTCCAATCAGATCATTCAATTTGAGTAGTTTATTCACGAACAATCGAAATTCAAAAAATGGCCGCGATGTACTAAATATAATGAGTATCCAGACTGAGTTCTCCGTAACAGTGAATTTATTTTTAAAGTCACAGCCTGGATTTAACGTTACTATGTGATATCGCTGTGTCATGTTATCTAGGAGTATTCTTACCTGTTTCACTGCAGCATCCAGGCATAATGGTATTTTACCAACCCGGAAGTTGCGTCTCTGTTTCAGTCGTGTGGATCTGAAAAGACGGACATTTACGCGGAGTATTCGACCATATAGCATTTCGTGCTACGATGTGACCTCTGACACAATATATGCTTTAGCGTCCGGTCATGGTAAATGTGGTATTGCAGTTATCCGCTTGTCCGGGCCATCTGCTTCATTAGTTTTAAAAGAACTCACTGGTCGGAAACAACTACCAATACCACGACAAGCTTCCATCAGGAGATTGCATGATTCCGTTTCTGGCGAACATGTCGATCGAGCTTTACTGTTATGGTTTCCGGGTAAAATCACTATATTTCTTCAGCAATGTTTATCGTTAGACCATGGAGGTAGAAACTTTTCTACCTCCTATGGTTAGACTAAATGTGTTTGCAGGATGTAGAAACTTTACTCCTTGACTTTAAATGTTTTTTTTTTTATTTATTTATTAGTATAAGTGCCAGTCTTTTGAATTTGTAAGAGTTTGGTAAGAGTTCCTTAGGACACTCTCATCCATAAGTCCAATCCTTTCCTTGCACCCGAAGGATATGTATACTAGTAGTTATCTAGGGGAACATATACACTGTATATAATTACATTGGGGAGATGGAGTGTTAGGGGTAGGGGGTTTTACAGCAAGTCTCAGAAGCCAAAGCCAACCGTTTAGTCATAACCCAAGCAGTTAGCTAGTTAGTAAGTTTGCAAATTGGCTGCCCCAATACTTCTGAGACTTGCTGTAAGGAACTTTTTCAAATTAATATTATGTTCTGGAAATGGTACTAGTATTTAACTGCTGGCTATTATTTGGTATTTTAGTAGCTATGTAATCCTTCCTTTCTGGATGCAAAGTCACTTGTTTTACTTTATAAAGCCTTAGTTAAACCTCACCTTGAATATTACGGTATATATTAATTAACCTAGTTTGAGAGCTATATAAACTTTGTCATATTGATATGTCAGTAGCTGTTCAATATCAAGCAGCAAGCTTGTTCTAGCACTAAAATCTAAGGCCAAAGGGTCTAAGGTCTGAGGCTAGACTATAGTCTCTCAAATTACCCACACTGACATACAGGAGGATACTCAGGAACATAATTCAGTATTATAAATGCTAGAATTACAGGTATTCATCCAAGCAGGATATTCTAATTTTACACAGTCAATCATAAACCTGAGGGCATGATCTGAGAAAATTAGGGTCACGATGAGATGTGATGAAAACTTCTTCACACCAGGAACAATTTACCTAGTAATGTGATCACAGCTTTAACATTGGACATATTTAAAGCAAAACTTAATATACATGTACACTGGAATAATTTGAAATATAATAACTGACACAATAATTCATCACCATCATGTTATTCACTATCACATTCAATCAAGAAAACAAATAGGTCTGTAGCCTCAACAGTGTATTAAACTTTGAAGTATACCGGTATGTATACACATGTAATCTGACAATTATTTTTTCAGGTCCAAATAGCTTCACAGGAGAGGATGTTTGTGAATTCCACATTCATGGTGGAATAGCAGTCATTAGTGCCTTGTATCATGCATTGGATAATATACCTGGAGTGAGACCTGCAGAACCTGGAGAATTTACTAAAAGGTAAGAACTACATTATGGTTTGTTTGCAGAGGATTGTGACTTCAAAGGTTTTTTAACATATTCTAATGTGAGTGATAATAATAATAATAATAATGTTCCAATAACAACATCCACTTAAACAATAACAAACTAAAGAGATAACACATCATCTCTATTGGTTTTTCTCCTGCAAATGAGTCATACCTTCTACAATACAGTATCTCACTATAGATTGATTCCCCTGATATGAATTGCAAGAAGTTGAGAATTACCTGAGTGTCATTTCGTACAGGGCTTTCCTGAATGGTAAATTAGATTTGACTGAGGTTGAAGGGCTGGGTGACTTGATTCATGCAGAGACGGAAGCACAAAGAAAACAGGCACTCCGACAGATGGAGGGAGAACTCAGCAAATTATATAAAGATTGGAAAGATAGATTGGTAAAGGTAAAAGTGGCCTATTGTCACTCACTCACTCACTCACTCACCCACCCACTCACTCACTCACTCACTCACTCACTCACTCACTCACTCACCCACTCACTCACTCACCTACTCACTCACTCACTCACTCACACACCCACTCACACACCCACTCACACACCCACTCACTCACACACCCACTCACTCACTCACTCACTCACTCACTCTTTTGTATATTTCTCACTTTATAACAAACAGAATTCTATATGTTTATGGTCTCTAACATTAAATACACAACAGGGACTGTGCATTGCATTATGTTTGTTATAGTGCATCTATATTATATCTAGAACCTTTAAATAACTAAATTGGAAATGCTTACTCCTATGTTGGTTTATAATAATTAAAGGTAGTAACCATTAAATATCACATACAAATACTAGACTCTACAATACTACAATAATCAAAAAAGCTGATTTTTGCCAAATGTCACATGCATTTAAAGTGCCTGTGAAATGGCTGCTATTTTCACGCCATTAATTATCCATTGATACATATATATTATTAATTTTTATGTTTCTAAGCATGAATTATTTTTTAAAAGTGAAAAAATGTGTTTTAAACTCAATCTACGGCAACCTTATTTTTGTGTATTTTAAAACGAGGCTCCTCATTAGGTTCTTATTTGCATACAGAAATTCCTCTTGTGACGTCAGAAGGGGAAGTCGCATGGCAGCTTGCATTGTCGATACATGTAAATAAGGCAAATTTCTTCTGCAGTTTTCTAGTCTTTGACTAAATTTTCACTTATGTACTTGTTCGTCGAGGAAGAATGGACCATAATAAACACATAGTATCAATTTTTGTTGCATGGGCTTGAGTTAGATGCGAAATATGTCCGTTCTGGTGTAGTTGGTCACCGTGATCGTCAGCGGCGCACGTTTGTACACAGTCGCTGGACAAAATAGAATTTGACGTCGGAATTATCTCGTTATTTAGCAGGTTACTAGGCACGTCACTACACTGTTTTATTTCATCGATCGTGCTGAGTAAAACTTTCAAAATTAAAATAAAAGAGAACATATTTTGACATTCTAAACATTAGACTATAGTGATCACTATAAAATAATTAAAAAAAATGACAAATCACAGTTACTAAATAAATGACAGCCGCGTGGAAATTAATTGAAATTTTGTTGAAATAGGTGAACGCGTCGGGTCACGAGAAGGCAAGTGGTTAAAAGCGGCGTTTAATTGGATAACAAAAATAATCGAGATCGACACACATACAGACAAATTCAGAGTGGATTCGAGTTAGCCTGATCCATGGTGTGATTGTCATAATTATAACATCATATTGAAACTTTATTTGGTGGAAACACATTGACCAAGCCCGGATTCTTATTTCATAAATTATTACGTAGATCAAGCTGCAAGCATGGAGGTAAAAAAAGAACAGAGGTGTGAATTCGACATTCAACACCAATCATCAAACAATTCAGAAACTTTTAGCCTCGAAAATGAAACAATTAGCAGTGTGTAAGGCTGTGTAATTTCCTGTTTGTCCGACGCTTCGTTTTCGTGTCACTGTCAAAATTATTGCTACCTTTTACTTAACAGGACTAAATGGTCTCTATAAAACGATAATCACGATCGCAAAAAAAGTCAACTCATTTGAAACACTTGCCGGACGTCTCTCTCTCTTCTGAAATCCGCCTCGGTGATCATAGTCCGGAACATATTTTTCTTTCAAAAGTGTTGCGCCAGGTTTATGTTGTCGGCATTTCTCTTTAAACCTAGTTGTTTTTTCATGGACGAGGACAGTTTTTCCACAAAAAGGAATTTAGGTTAAGTGGCTTTCGTCCACTGATGTCGCACCTTCGGTTAGAAACGTGTGAATACTTATACTATGACTATACGTTTCACTGCAACTGCCCACAACACAACATCTAAATACTCTCTCTCTCTCTCAAAAAAAAATGGACAAAAAACTCCGACTGAAAAACATATATTGTTTAAAAGTATACTGAATGACCGGTGTTATTACGGCTTATGACTTCCTCTCACCTTTTGGCATTTGGTGGCGCACTTTCGGCGAGAGTCGGAAATCCGGAAACAGTCGACCGTTTCAGGATAGGTGGGCGTGGCTACAACACGAGAAATATCCAAAATTTACTTGGATACGAGTAATCATTTTCAATAAAAAAATCAATAACTGCCCATTTCAGTGGAACACAGATCTAAAATGGGAAACATGAGGGTGGGCATTGCACAGGCACTTTAAGTTCAGAACTGTGAAGCCTAAAGGACAGCTAATCAACCACAATGTTTAAAAATACTAGCCCTGATT